TAGTTAGAAAAGGGGGGAGGGCCTAGGACAGAGCTTTGATGCCCAGACAAGAGTAGAAGAGGACGCTGTGTTGCCCAAAGCTCTGGAACAGTTGTCTCCTCAAAGGGGTTCCCTGGGTGAATCCAGAGGAAATCTGGAGTGTATCCTTCTCACTCTCCAAAGTCTTGGCTTGGGAACTTGCTAAGACCATGTTGAAATCATTGTGTCTGAAAAACTTGTTGTGTTGGTGTTTATCAAACATAGATCTTTTGATTGCTACATTTTCTGTCCACTTGGCCAAACCAGCAGGTCTTGGTGTTTCATGGGACTCCTGCTTGTGCTGAGCCTCCTAAAATTTAGCATCACTCTTCTCTTCCTCCATTCCTGATTTGAATATTTGGTAACAGACCATTTGGTATGTTTGTGTGCAAGTAGTGTGGATTTTCTGTTGACTTGTTCTTCTGAACTCCTGGATGAATGCTAGCAGGTCCTGATGCCTCTTAGAAGAAATTAATTTAAATAAATTGAGTAATATCTTCCATTCATAAAGCATCATGTCATGAATGATGGTCCAAGACCTCTTTCTTGAATGTTCTTCCACACTAATCATCTTTTGACCCTTCTGTCAGGTTTCCTGATTTTATTGTGTTTGTAGAGTTTTGACTTAGTTTGTAAAGATGTTCTGGTGCCTCTTTTGGCCTAATTATGGTTTTACTTTAGCTTAGTCCAGCTTGCTGTCATTTTTCTTTGCTTGAAGGAATAATGTCCAGTTTTAGGGCTGGATGGTTTATGTTCTTGTTGGTATTTGTTTGTTTGTTTGTTTTGTATTTTTGTTTTTTACTTGTGGTTCCTTTATTTTAAAATATGTTGCTAATATTCTCTAGGCTTACAGTGAGCCTCTGATTCAGTGTCTTTGAACAATCTTAATGCCACTTGCAAGCATTTGATTTCTTAGGCTTTACTTCTTCATTTCCATTTAAGACACTTCTTTTCTTTTAGACAGCTTCCTCTTGTGAGTTATATATTGCTCTAGTGTTTTGGAGAGTGTTTCCTTTTTTTATTGCTGCTGCAAGGAAGCTGCATTTCAGTCCAGTGCAGAACCATTCTGTAATATTGATCATAGTCACACTGTGCTGTTCTGGGTCTAAATCACAAATTCTGCTGCCTCCTATAAGTTTTCCTCAGAAAAGAGTATTTATGGAATCCAAAAATGCAGTCTCTGCATCATCCCTGTCATGACGCTTATTTGGCTTGCAAGGGCATTGTCAAAATTTCTTACTGTTGTATATTTTTGCTTTTGCAGCATATTTCTCTCTGTCTTTTAACATTTTAATTGACCTTCTGGATTTGGTGGTCCCCTCTGTAAACATTTGTACCTACTTATGGAATTTTACAGGGCTTCTATGTTCCTGTTGCTGACTTGTAGTTTTCTTTGAGGTGGAGGTTCACTCCTGCACTCTTCCACTGATTATTCATTTACAATTTTTATGCTGATACACCACTGGTTATCTTCCTTCAGGAGACTCTTAGCAGCTAACCTTAGACATGTAATTTTCTATTTCAAGACTTTGGGTACATTTATACCATCTTAACTACTTGCTCTTGGATTTGTTGCCTGTTCTTGTGCTTGAATATTGAATATGGTGTTATTGTGACTGGTCCTTGGCAGAATTCAGGTAGGAAATACATTCCTTCTATCCTTTACTAATCTCTAAAGAGTAAGTAATCTGAACAGTGCACTCTGCTGTAGTTGTTGACTTTCTTGGTAGTGTGTTTAAAAATTACCCCAAAGCCTTTTTAAAATAAAGTGCCAGCAGCCTGATCTCCTGGAGAGATCCTCAAGGGATCAGGGCAGTGCTGGATATTTTGGGTGAGAGGATTCTGAGTGATGTATCAAAATTTGAGAACAATCTTATCTATATAGGTACTGGAGACCTGTCTGCCTGTATGAAGGTTGGAGATGCAAATGAAATAAGAGAGTCCATTATGATGCATTATGACTGATGGTGTCTGTAAGGAGGGTAGCACAGACTTTTGCAGAACTAGCCTTATTTCTACATTCCTTTCTTTTCCCTGATATGCGAGGTGTGGAGAAGAGAGAGAAGTTATTTTTCCCTTTCTAAGGCATCTTCTAAATTTTCTGGTTAATTGGTTACCGTGTTTCTGTGGTCTGATGGTAATGTGTGCACTGACCTGCTGAGAACCAGGCAAAAAATCTCATTGTGAAAGGTAAAGTATATGCAGTGTAATAGTCATCATGTTGAGAGCTTGTCTTCTTTGCTAAAAATAGTATGAAAAATCCAGTCCATGAGTGTTGTTCAGGAAATCTTCAGTTTTAGTCAAGTGAAGGGGCCTCATCGTCACAGAATTATTAGCATGAGTTGCTCTGAAATATAAAATGTAGCTCCTGTTGCTATGATTTTTTTGTCCATTCTGCTGCCTGGTTCTTATCAAAGGTATAATGAACTCCTAATGGATAAAAGTTGCTTCTTTTTTGGAGGTGGGGAGAGAAGAGAAAGGACAAAACATCCATTTATGGTTAGAAAAGTTGTTCAGGAAAATTCTTCTGAAAAGGCAGCAAGTAGTTCAAGAAACCTGTGTGAGTCCATGACCCATTTGGTAAGTGATGACTGTGGAACCTCCCAGAAAAAGATTTCTAAACAATTTGCAACACAGACTCTCAATACTTTCTCTGTTGCGTATATCAGATAAGCCATTTTTCAGGAAGGAGCAGCTGGAGGGAGACTGGGACAGATTGAATCTCAAGACTGTGGTCTTGCAGACATTTATGTCAGAGGTCAGAATAAAGTGTGGATCTCTCCTCTCCTGTTGTTTTGCTGCTGTTCAGCAGCTCATGTGGCTAGCATGTGATTGCAGAGAGAAGGAAGCCAAGAAGTACCTAGCACAGGAATCCAGCGTAGTTCTTCCAAGAATGAAACAGTGGTAAGGCAAAGAGTCAGTTTCCAGTAAGGTAAGTTTTGTAAACCATAGGTGGGAATGGGTGGAGGCTGGATACATGGAAGACCTGATATATGAGATTCAATAGGACTCTTCCCTCAAACGGAAAGGAGCAATGTTGAGAATTTCTTCTTCAGAGGTTAAATCTTTAGAAATGCTCTGGAGATAGGAGTGAAGCCCAGGCTGTCTGTGTCCTGGTCTGACCAGGCACATGAGAGGCATAGGCCTGCATTTGGCCACAAAGAGGGCAAAATAAATGTGCTGCGGAGACAAGCAGGCTTCTGCCCTCTACCAGTGATCTCTGTGAGCTTCTGTGTTTAATGCCATTACCTTTTCTGTGCAAATACAGGCTTGTGTAGGGAAGGGGAGGCATGCAATTTGATGGAGATTAGAGCTTGAGCAACATGATAGTTGTCCTCACTGTAGACAGTGGGCAATGCAGAGGAGGAGAGCCAGCCTGACTTGTAATGATGAGAAGTTGGGCAAAGGCCATATATGAACAAAACTGAGCTCTGGCAAGTTTAGTCCTGTCAGAATCTGTCTGTGGCATGTGGGTGTTAGGAAGGTTTATCCTCCCTAGTGGTCTTTCAAGTTTCTTCCTAAACTTTTTCATTCCTTGACTTGATATCTGGGATGGCACAGCTTGGGTTTATCTTCAGTCTATCTAACCAAACCTCAAATGTTCCTATTCTTGACAGTGCCTTGAACTGGTGGGGCACATGTGTAATCTCTTGGTGGCTCTTCTCACTAGCTCCCTGTGATGTCTGAGCACCAAGAATAAATTTAGTGTAGATATCTGTTGCTGATCCTGACCCAGGATATTCCAAGTCCCAGTGGAGGGCACTGTTCAACACAGGAGAAGTTTGACCAGACATGGTTGAAAGTCACTTGTTTTTAAGCTAAATAGGGTGCCTGAGGGTAGCAGATAGCTCAGTTTGAATCCTAAGCATTCTTGCTGTCTCAAAAATACACCAGTTGAATGGAGGAGTAGGGATTTTGTGGACAGTTTTCTGGGGCTGGAGGGCACAAGCTGATTTTTAGCCTAACTACCAAATATGGCAACTGAAATATATTTGTTCTGAGATCTGTCTTGACCAGTAAGTCAGTCTTCCAGAATGAGTCTGTCAGCATCCCAGAAACACAGAGACGTGTCACAGAAAGCATGCAATAAGCACAAGGAGGTTTTGCTAGAAGACAGCCCAGGAAAGTTGTCCAAGCTCATGCCTGGGTTACAGGGCTCTTGGGTCTTCTGCTCTGTGCTGACATGCTTCCATGAGGTTTATGGGCTGCACAGAACTTGTCTTCCTTAGTCCTTGCTTTCTGTACACTTCAAAGCAGTTTATCCAGGGACAGTTGACGAGCTCCATTACTAAAACAACCTCGACATCTAGGATGCGTGCCATCAGCACTTCCCTTGCTTTCAAACTTGATGCTTTTCTAGGTTCCCTAGAAAAGGGAACCTAGGTGGTCATAGGGTGAGCCTTGTCTTAGGAGGCTACTCATTTGAAACTGTATCAAAATTGGCTGAGCCAGATTAATACCTCAGTTACATGGAGTGGTCAGGTGCCTTGGCCCTTGTACTTAAGTGGTTGGAACACAAATTGGTTCAACTCATTAACCCAGCAAATACTGTGGTTGGTTTTGATGGTCTTGTTTTCTGCCATTTTTAATGAGTAAAATTGGATTCCCAGGTGAACAGGCCAGCTCAAGAGCACGGGCAAGGTAAGGAATGGGATGCATGTGTGAACAGGAACATATATTTGTGGGGGAGGTCAGGGCAGGCAAGACCACCACTTTGATGGAGCCAGGTATTCATTCTGCTCAATTCTGTTGTAAAACTTTGCTTTGAATATCCTGACAGTTGTAAATGCAGTGGGGAAACCTCTCTTATGGCCCAATTGCAATGAGTATCTGACTTTTATCTCTTAATTTTTGGGTGGTAAAGAAGATTTTCATCTTGGTTGTGAAATTTGGTTAGGCTCAGTTGAGTCTGTACTGAGCTGTAGGGTGGTGGCACTGTTCTGGTTTCATGTCATGCCTCTGTTTATCCTCTCTCTCCTCAGCTTGGCATTGCTGCAGGCTTTCTGATCCCTCCAGTTCTGATTCCTAATGTGGATGATGTGGAGAAGCTGGCCCACCACATCAGCATCATGTTCTTTATGACTGCAGGTGTGGCATCAGCTCTGTTCATCCTGGTCATCATAGGTAAGGAGGTGGGAGTGTGCACATGAAACCAGATGGGACTGAGATCAGCTAATGTGTGACGGGGGCCTGTGTGCCAGGAAATGGGTGGGCAGGCCATCTGGGGATGTGTCTTACCATGCAGGTGACAGGGTCATGCAATATCGTATCTTGCTGCTTCAAACCGTTGATGAACAGCACATGTAGAAGGGAGGTTGTAAGCAAGCCTGCCAAATTGTTAGTTTGGTCCATTGCCTGCCTAATAAATTCCAGGCATAAGTAAGTCCTTTAAAAACCAACAGAAATCTTGCAAGTTTCATAGTCATCTTCCCTGCAAACAGAGTACTGGGCCTTGGGTTATGTCTGGGACCTGACTACCTCTGGAGAGTAGAAAGAGGCAGATTATACTGCATCACAGGAACAACCTGTTCCCAGTTATGAGTGGAGAGAATAAAGCATGAAGGACAATAGCAGGACACAAGAGGTGCAATTTCCCTGCTTAACACATGAAGCCAAAGCCAGATCTTTAGCATGAAAGACTGGCACGCTCACTGGAAAGCTGAGTTTAGTTGCTGAGTTCCATCCAATTTTTTTGATAGGCTCCTCTTGCCAGTTTGTTCATGTTGCTGGTGGCTGAATCAGATGTAGACTTCAAATAATGTGGGGCAGGGAATAGACAAGGTGCAAAAATGCCTGTCTAGCACCTGGCACAGCAGTATTGCTTGTGACTGGGATTTCTGGATGCTACTTTAATGCTAGTAAGGGGCAGCAGATGGCTTGGCCTGAAATAAAACCTGGCAAAGGTTATTGTTCCTGGGCACTGGCCACTGCAGAGCACTAGGCCACCTTTGTCAATTGACTTGTCCAGTTCAGCTTTGTCATTTGTAAATCCACGTAACACTTTTGCACCTGGCTGGTCATCGTTCTAGAGACAAAGACATTAATAGTCCTGAGAACTCTTTTGGTGTTACTGGACACTGCATACACAAAAAACTAATTGAAGGCAAGATGTTTCCCTTGGGAAGGTGTCAGGAGTTACTGTTGGAAGAGAGCTGTTCTTTCCTGTTCCTGGGTAAGTTCATGCATGGAGATCAAAGCTTAAGGAAAATGGTGTGTTTTGTACACTTGGTTCTACCAGCCCCCCTGACATCCCTCAAGTGGCAGTGTGTGCTCAGGCCCCTCAACTGCACCATTACAAACAGATGTACTTTGTGTCTGGTTTCAGTCTTCAAGGAGAAGCCCCCGAACCCTCCAAGCCAAGCTCAGGCCTCGATCCAATCAAGACCGGCTGCAGAGTATTCCTACGTGCAATCAATCCTCTGCCTGCTCCGCAATGCCAACTTTTTGCTGCTCATGGCCACTTATGGTAAAGTTTGGCCTTTCTTCTTGTGCAGTTATCATGACTTCTCCCTCTCTCTCTCTGCTCTGCTGAGGCAGTAACTGGCTTGAGTTGTTTTAGGGGAATATAAAGATAGCTCCCCTGTGCTGCCACAGACCAGGAATCCTTATAGCCCAGTACTCTTCAGCAGTGGTTAGCAGCAAATGCAACGGGAAAGAATGAAAGGAAGGCAAGCACACACACACAGAGGGTGATACGCCCCTACAACTGTTCGCCCAGTCTTTGACTGTTTGCTGTTCAGGGGATTTCCTTATCTGTTCTTTTTTTTCTAGTCATTTAGTTAATTGCATCACGATCTAAGTGCTTACATAAGAAATACATGGAAGTGTCTGAGTGCAAGTCACAGAAATGAGTGAAAGTCATTTCCGAAGGCAAGGATATGAATATGACTGCCAGGCATCTCTGTAGAGGTCATGTGGAGTATGCAGATGTGCAGACTTTGTCAGCTTCCTAGGCAGTCCCTGTGAAGCAATTGGAAGGAAGGACTGGAGAACATCTTATGCCATCTGTTCTTGCATGCTGAATTTGCTGCTTGCTTCTCATCAGCAGTCTCAGTCTATTTGTTTGAGGGCAGTGCGATGTGTTGAATCTATTCCCTGATGCTGAATTGGCATATAGGAAAGTTTTTTCTTACTAGCTGAAAGACCATTGTGGTCTGTGCCTGGCTGCATAATAGAGTATACTGTAGCCAGCTAGTCTGTGGGTAGTTTTGCCCTCATTCTTCCTACCAGCTTGCTATGGAAGCTTCTCAGTGGGATAGTTAAATATTGCTGGAAGTTCTGCACATTTTGCCAGTAATTGTATCTGAAAGACCTTGTGGATGAGTAGGCAGGTTGGACAGAGTCAGATGGTGTACTTTGTACTTGCTGAGGATGCTAATGGTCTTTGGAGTTGTTGGAATCTCTGCTCCCTTCCTTCTCAGTGCAGTAGACTTCTAGAAATGTCCCTCTCAGATTGCTCTTAAACTCTCCTGGTTTCCATTGCAGCTGCTGGGTTTGGCTATTTTTTTTTCCATATTACATAATGCCCTCTCAGAAAGTGAAGACACAAAAACCTGTCATGCAACTGTCTGAAGTTGGATTGTATCATCTGCTCAGTTCACACCCTTCAGGAAAAGGGATGAGGAAAGCATTTGCTCTAATAGGCACAAACAAGTCCTAGAGGAGAGAGGAGGGCTCTCAGTTCAAAGAGCATGTTTAGAATCTGACCTTCCTGTGAGAAGTCTTCTCTGGCAGTCACAGTGTGCAAAATCTGTTCAGTGGCTCATAATTAATTTTCTCTTGCTGCTGGTCTGTGCATTTATTCTGTTCCTCTCTGTGTCAGCCTCATGCCAATCTCCAGCATGACTTGAGATGGTGACTGTTACTCAGAGAGGGAACTGTGCTGTGAAACTTTTTTTTTTTAGCGTGTCTGGGTTTAAAATGGTGACAGTTTTTCCTACTCAAGTCAAAAGCTATATTGGCCAAGATTTAAGACATCTGCATCCACATGAGTACAATTGAGTCATTCTGTCTACCTAACACAAAGATATCTGCAGCCTGTTGGCTTTTGTGTTAGCATTACATGTGTCAGGGGAGGAGGGGCAAACCTGCTGCTTGTTCATCTCTGCGGGCTGGAGAAAGAATGGGGATCCTTCCACAATGCCAGGTTACAGCAGGTCTGTAGACTTCTTAGTTCTTGGTATTACCAGCAGATTACTTTCTTGTGGCAGGACTTGGAGTGCTGGAAACAGTGGTGTCACTGCTGCTATGTCAGTGCTAGTGAACTGCTTTCCAGGAAAGCTCTCAGAGAACCTTTTCCCCAAGGCTGCTGACATTGCTTCCATAAAACTGAGGCATAACATGGAATGGACATTAAGGAATTCCAAGTCTGTGGGGGTGGGCTTTGCACTGGAAGGCACATTGCTAGTGGGAGGCAGTAGGCAGGAAAAGGATGTGAGATTCTGGGAAAGGCTGGTAGAACGGGAGTCATGAGACAGTCGTAAAGAATCAGCATTTGGAATGGTGATGGGGCAGTGAGGAGGAGGCAGGGCAGTAAGAACTGCATAAAGAACCATTGTTGGGGAGAATTACAAGGGTGGACAAGGGAGAGACCAAGGATTTGGCATGTAGGTAATAGGCTGCCTACCTGTGGGAGACCTGGGTTCTAGTCTGAGGCTTAATAAGTGCTCCTTTTGGAGCTCTAGGCAATAAACTTCCCCGTTCTGGCCTCTATAACATAGAGGAGACACTGAGGTATCAAAAAACGTTATTCTACATTACAAGCAAACCATAGTAACTAGCTAAAGAATTGGGTTGTGCTGGACTTTCAGATGTCCTGCTTCCAGCTACTAGTTCTGGTTTCCCTCATCTGGGTGGGCAAATGGCCACTTTTCTGTTGGAAACAACCATCAACTGCTTTATGGACATTCAAACAGCTGTAATTCTCGAAGAAGCTTCGCTGAGCAACTGTGACACATGAAGTGCCTACAACTTTTCTCAGCCCTCACATATGCAAATTTGACACATTGTCTTGATTCTTAGAATGTTTTGCCTGACTCTGGTGCCAAGTGTTGCTGCCAACTCTTAGTTTCTGCCCAGCTTGGGAGCAGGGGCCATTCTCTGTCTTGGGAATCACATGGATTACAGAGCTGCTGTAAAGTATACTGTAAAGTAAAATAAAAATTACTGGCAGTATTAGGTACCAGAGCAGCATCTGACTGTCTTCACAAGGCTGCTGTCCTCTTGGCTGGGTGAGAAATAGAGGTGCACAAATGAGTAGTTAATGTTTATGCCCGGCTTTGAAGTGAAGAAGCAGTACTGTGCTGATCTGCCATACTCCCATGTCCTTGCACTGCAGCTTGCGGTGTCACCTAGTGAGCGTGGTGCTCCAGAGGTGGCGATAGGATGAAGCTGATTTAGGGTGTGTTAGCTGTTTTGCCTTAGCCAAGTGTTGCAAAGAGACAGCTTTCTAGGCTGAAGGGCGCCTCCTTGCTGTGAGATCTCCAGTTGTTTCCCCCATCCTTGGCGGCTGTCCCTGCTGGAGTTTCCAGCCTTCCTAAGTAACTCTTGGTAAGGATTGGATAGATTCTCTCCTGCCTAATGAGCATGTCACTCAACTTACTAGCCTCTCCTGTAACCTTCTGACATGTGGTTTTGAAGCAGGAAGCATTGACACAGGCAGTATTTGGGATCACTTGCATAAGAGTCTTCATCTGTGGAGTGAGCTGTGGAGTGAGCTTTGCTTAATCATAGAATGGTTTGGGTTAGAAGGGCTCTTAAAGGTCATCTAGTTCTAACCCCCATGCCATGTTCAGGGACACTTCCCCTAGACCTGGTCACTCAGAGCCCAGTCCAGCCTGGCCTTAAACACTTCCATCTACACCTTTGGGCAACCTTTTCAAGTGTTCCACCACCCTCACAGTAATGTTGCCAGAGATGGTGTGTGAAGGAAGTGTGATGCACCTTCCAGCTGCCAAACTTGTGGCTCCTCACAGTGCTATGTACTAGAACAGCTATCCAGTGTTCAATGGAAGACTGGGCTAGGTGCAGGATTGCTGACTACTTAAGGGGAACTAGGGGACTTCAGGCTCAGGAGAGCTCAGGGCTTTGTTCCCTCTGTCAGAGCTTTGCCTGCTAGACTGCACTTCTAGACTGTATCCTGTGTTAGTTTCTGCTTTTAGCTGAGGCTTAGAGAGGAAAAGTAGGAAGGGGGAACTTGACATGTATCTGTTTTGTCAGGATTTCAGGCATCTGTGCCAGACTTTTTAAACCCATGGCTCCTTTTGGAGCCTGTAGACGTGTGAGCTGCAGTGGTGAAATCTGTCCCTTTCCCTCCACCCATCAGAATCACTGAAGCCTTGAAGAGAAACCTACTGCAAATGTAAATGACTTTCTGAGAAGAAAGTTATGCTGACTGTTACAGACCTCATCCACCTGGGGCAGGTTTTTCAGTATCATCCACAGTGAGAGTGTAGCCGTTGCAGTACTGCTGGTCCAGTGCACATGTGTATGTTCTTGCCTGCTGAACAAAGCTGTCATTTGAGAAGGCATTTAACCAACGAGAATTGCATGTAAGATGGAACAGAGTGTCTGAATAGGGCTTGACCAGTATCACCCCAAAAGTTTCATTCTCACCTTGGCTGATACTGAGAAACCTTCACCAAGTGGTTGATCCTTGTGACAGTTAATGTAAGTTCTCTTTCAGAAATGCAGTTACTTTCACAGGCTTTTTCAGGCCTCAGTGATATCTTTTAAAATGCAAGACTTTTCCCATACAGACACACAGCCCAGGTGCCTGAGGGTAGTGTTGTCTGTGCTTCATCAATAAGCTTCTACTTGTCTTCGGGCATTTCTTGGCTTGGAGAGAATGTTATTTACTGGTTGCTAGTAGGGAGAATGCTGACAGGCTCTTCTCTGGGGGGAAAACACACAGGTCAATGACACTGTTGTTAATTGAATCTCAGGTCCTTGTGCAGGGTGTGATGCTGAGGCAGATGCTTTTCTAGTATCCTGACTTGGCTGGGGGCAGAGGAGAAAATTGCAGTGCTAAAGATGGATCCGGCTGTGAGAGAGGGTTGAGACCCTGTTAAGGAATTGTGAGACCTTTCAGTACCAGAAATGTGCACAGCCCTTCCTCTAGCTGCTTAGGTAAGAACCATCCTGAAACTGCAGGGTTCTTCCTCCTGCATGCTGAGGCCTGAATGTTGGTCTGCATTTCTTTCAGTAACCTATGTTGAACCAGTCTGGCTCATTCTCCTGAGATTCTGCAGCCTTGTTCTGGGCTGATGGTCCCAAAGATTTCTCTCTCTGCATTTCTACCCTTTCACAACCCAACAGGAAAGTAGCAGACTCTGAATGTGCTACATTTTTATCCCCTTCTCAGGTCTGAATGTAGGTTGTTTCTACGCCTTGTCCACTCTGCTGAACCGCATGGTGATCCATCACTACCCAGTAAGTGCATACAACCCTCATGGCCCTCTCTGATGCTTGCTGCTCTCTGGCACTGGCTGCCAAAGCGGAATCTGTGAGAAAGGCAACGTCACAGCAGTCCTGGCTGGCTCTTGCACAAGTTGGCTGTTCCTTTTTTCATTTACACCACCCCATGCAAAAGCTGGTGAGCTCTAGAAAAGACAGCTCCTTTGCACCTTAAATAAAAGCATTTACTTCTGAGAAAATCTTCCAGCAATTTCCTCTCCTTGTTTCTGACTGTAATTTCTACTGGGACATCAGTCCTAGGAGGCTGCCTATGCTCATGCTCTGGTGGCAGAAGGGTGGAGTGCCTCAGTACCTGAGCTATTGTACAGCATACTGCTGGTGCTGCATGCCACAGATCTCCTTTCTGTGCTGCCTTATAGTGAGTCCCAATATTTCCTAGTCAATCTGGCCCAAATCCTAACAGCAAGGTTCATAGAGTTTCTGCTCACACTGGCCAGTGCACACCTTTTTCTCAGGGCTGGATCAGACACAATTGCCAGACCACTTTTTTTTTTTTATGGACCAGAAAGCACTGGCTCATAGTGGGCCCAAAAGTGTTCCTGTAAAGGCTAGTTCTGGTTAGTGTGTTACCAGCAAAAAATATGTATGAAGACTAACTTTGGTGTCTCTTCCTCTCTGGGTTTTCTGCACTTTGCTTTTTTGTTGGATATGACTTAGCTCCTGCCTTTGTGTGTATATGTCTTACCACAGGGGGAGGAGGTGAATGCTGGCAGGATTGGACTCACCATTATACTGTCGGGGATGGTTGGGGCTCTGATCTCCGGCATCTGGTTGGACAAAACCAAAACCTACAAGTAAGTGCCTTGTTTGCCTCTGTGCCCTGGCAACTGTGCTCTTCCTCTATACTGTGCAAGGAACAACCCTGTGCAGTTGCAAGTTGGCAGTCTAGAGACTGAATCATTGGAAAGATTTGTTGGGAAAAAAATAGGGTACTTCAAAACCCAGTTAGTCTAAAGTGAAGTTTGGAGGTGTGCATTAGCTGGCACTAGGCTCATACAAGATCTGGTGTCGGTGGTCCCTAGGGAGGCTTACAGAAAAGATGAGATGGCCCAGTAACTGCTTTGTCAGTGATGAGAGAGTTCTTGGCACAAGCAGAATCAAGACTGTACCAGACCATTTCTCAGCCCTTACAAACCAGCCTCTGTGAATTTTTGTCCAGCTTAATGAAAGGCACATTGAATCCAGTGCCCAGAGGCATTGTGTTGATGGTGTGTTGTTGTGTTTAGGGCAGGCATAAGGGTTATTTGGGTTACGGGTGGATGATTGTGTGTTTGTTGCCTGGTGAGTTGTGAAGGCAGATCTGGCCAAGCATCTTGCCATCTGAAAAGGGACAGTTAAGAGTCTTTGCTTGTCCTACAGTTCCCAGTCTTCAGGAATTTGGATCTCGCTGAAACACCTCTGTAGGCTATCTCAGAGGATAGAAAGAGACTCTTCTGTCTTATACTGGGCTTGAACCATCTTTTTGGCTTCTTTGGTGGCTTTGAGAACTGTGCTATAACCTGTTGTCTGAGCAGGTTGGGTGAGAGGGGGCTTTACTGGTAATGTGCTGGTAATGACTTGAAAGCAATTTTAGAGTTTTATTTTTTGCAGAAGCTTTTCATCTGTGGGAGTCCTACTGCCATTAACCTACCTCATATCTTTAGCCAGATACACACATTCTCATTGTACACAGATTAATCTGGATAGCTGTGAGCTTGCAACTTCTGAAGTGGCCTCTGGCTGTAGCTCCCTGTAAAGTACAGGGATCAGAAACAGAATGTTGGCTTCTCTAATATGAAAGAATGGTAGGTGAGGATCCTGGGACCGGCAGGTTGTTTGTTGCTGTGTCTAGATGGTTGTGTGGCACTGAGTAGTTCTCATATGGGAGTCCTGGGAAATAGAAATACAACTGTTAGAACTGCACTGCTAACCATGCAACATGACTTGTGTATCTTTCCAGCCCAGGGCTAGTGGTAAGGTAGCCTCAACTGGCACCTCTAAACTGTATGATCTTCCTGGTTTTCTGTAAGTGAGGTTAGGTTGCAGCATGGAGGCTTGAAGAGCTTTGTGACTCACCATGCAGAGCTGGGACTTGAAACATGGTAGAATGGGAAAGAGATGAATGTAAGAATCCTGTATTTGTTCCATGTACCCTCCTTCCTTGGAGGATCACACAGGTAAGCAGAGCTGGCTAACAGTGCAGAAAAATTAGGACTATGTCATCCATGAAGTTCATCCTACAAACCCCAGGGGCTATTGGGAGATAGTTTTAGTCTTAGGTGAGGAAAAATGCTGCTAAGAATTTGTTCTCCATTACAGCCTACAAAATGGATTTCTGTGAAACTAGCACATTTTTTTTCCAAGTGCTACATAGTCTTTATTTAGCCCCATTTAAAAGTCTATTTAAAAAAACTGTCAAGATGCCAGATGTTCTAGGTGGGTACCCTCCCCCTTCCCTCTGTTGCTGAGATAGTGTCAAGAATAAAATGGTAAGCACATGAAAATCAGGAAGGAAAGATATCAAATCCTTTTTTTAGTCAGCTTGGAGAGAGAGGGAAGCAAATGAATGGGATCCAGCTGTGATTGAGGGGAGCAGGGGAAGATTAATAACAGAAGGAATTGCAGAGCTCTACACGCATGTTTGATCTTTACTGTATCATCAGCAGTTCCTTGAAAGGGTGAGGCTGTGCTAAGTCAGGCTTTCCCCATCTGTCATGCTCGGGCACCAAATGGCCTTACACTCTTGCTTTTATTTGGCAGGCAAGTCCCTGCAGCAGCCCCTGCACTGTTCTTGTTTTTGGAATAGCAGGTGCAAATTTGGTCCATTCAAATAAATACATGAATTATGTAGTCAGAAGTGAGCAGTGCAAGAACTGGGGTTGGCTTTGGTGGTATGGCTTGATGAGAACAGCCCATCTCTTTGAATCATAGAATCAGGAGAAGACCCTTAAAGTTTTGACATCAAGCTCCTGGCTCAGAGGACGAATGAGGTTGTGACAACTGGAGACTGCTTGGTGCATTGGTATTTGTAGGGTAGTCTGGCTCAGAATGAGGTGTTTGAGGACTGAATTAATCATCACTTCTCTTTGGCTATGCTTTTCTTTCAAGTGCCGTCTTCACATGGCCTCAGGTCAAGCTGGTTGCAGTCAGCACTCTCCACTTTCATTGCCACATTTCTAAAAGGCAAGATGTCAGAAATATCCATCTCTCCATTGACTAGGCAGAAGACCCCAAATGGTGTTTTAGGTCTGTACAGATGCAAAGTACAAAAATTTGGGGGAAAGAGAAAAGATAATGGAGGATGGAACACCTGGGTCTTTTCCACTGAAAGGGGAGTGCTCTCTCAGCCTAGCCTGACCTGCAACTTGGGCCTTCTTATTGTAGCCCTTTTTATGCAAGGTTAGTCCTTGTGTAGTGGATATGTCTTCACCCTGTCCTGCCATATATCTTATACAAATAATTAACCAAGACTGTCCTTTCTTCTGAACTTCATACAGGAAGAAAGTAGCATAAAACTGAATGCCACAGGATAAGGGCATGGTGAAAACCAAATCAGTCTTCTCCAATTTGTCCCTTTCTCCAGCATCTGACACCTCCATGTCTTCAGCAATGAGATCTTCTGGGAGCATGGGAACAAGGCCTTTGGTCAGGCTTTTGTGCAACCTGGAATGTGCTGTCTTCATGGCAAAGCCTGTGGAAGCCATCTGTCATTCCTGTGTCTGTACAGCAGAGCATGCTGGAGCTGCACACAACATCCCTGTGAGCAGCTAAAACTTTTGTATATGGCTGTACCCCTCATGCCACCTCCTCCTCCTAGCTTGTTCATTTGTTGCCTCAGATGTTGATTGACTCTAGTGTTTTTGCAGCTGCAATCCCCTCTGAGTCTTGTCCTGTCACTTTTGCTTTCCTCATCCAAGTGACCTTGTGAGACAAGGCTGGGCTGGGCCATATCCATTCCTTACTCAGAGGCTTCTTCTAGAGTTGACCGAACAGCAGGAGATGTGTTCTTCATTCCAGCCCTGTTCCCTGCTGGTGCTGGCCCTGTCTGGCTTTTTTCCCCCAAGGTCTCTTTTTTCTCACAGTCCCTTGTGCAAGCTCTTTAATCTGCCTCTTCAGAAGGTTTGGGAATGTGACTGGGAGGGCAGATGAATGTCAGGGCTGGTTAGGTTCATCTAAGTGACAGGTGTGTCAGGTCCTTCACAGGCCTCCCTCTGGCTCTGCCACACAGACTTGGCACTGGTGCCTTCATAGCAATGTTTCTACATGGGTGTGGTGGGCTTCCTTTCCGCACCCCAGAGCACTGAGGGTTAACCTCAGTTTTTCTAAGGTAGTATGGCAGGATGCCTAATTTCCAGCCTGTACTCATTGCACTAATCAGCCTGTTAAGTAGACAGTCTCTGTTCCCTGTACCAGACAATGAAAATTGTCAGTCCCTGTAGAGCTGTCATGGGAGTAGGTTGCTAGAAACACCAGAATGCAGTGCTCATGTGCTCTGTGAATCTGCTTCTCCTCCTTTGTGCTTTTCTCGCTCCCATGAGATTTATGGCTATGATAAGAGGCTTATTAAGCTAAAACTGGGTATGTTTCCATGCCCCAGTGCCCCTAGGGCCACAGAATATTCTTGTCCTCTGGTGAACAGGGTGTCAAAGGCCACTTCCTGAGAACACCCTGCCTCTGTGTCTTTCCCCAGGAGTTTTTGTTTCACTGTGCACCAGTGTCTACCAGTATCTCAGTTAAACCCTCTTCAAAATTTTGTGTCTTTCTTGGACTGCTGAGCACTAAATCACCTTTTTCTTGTCATCAGTGGTATGAGTGTCTCTGCTGGCAGTGACTAAACTTCCAAGGGCTTCAGCCACCTCTTGGAGGCCTGCACAGTATTTTAGCACTGACTGCTATGTCGTTTGGAGACTTCTGTTTATGGAAGTTGCTCCCAGTTCAAACTTCCAACTGTCCAAACCAGGTCAAACTGGTTCATGTAGCCCAAGTACACTACTGTAATTCCAGCTTTGACCTCCTTTCCTAATAATCTCTTTCCTCCATGGCTGCTTGTCAAGGCAAGGGAGGCATAACAACTTATGGGACCTGAGGAACCTGTATTGAGCAGAAAAAGGCTTTTACTTGCATCTCTTTCACTCTCTGGGGCTGCTCTCTGTCTCTTCAGTCACTCTTTCAGCTCTTCTTCTGCAGCTTCCAGGCTCTGTGCAGCTCTCTGCAACAGATTATAGCAGAAGTAAGCAGTCCCTTTATGCTGCCTTCACAGATGAATTTTTCCCTCAGTGAAAACTTTGGAAAGAACATACTCTAGGAATGGTACAGCATTGGAGGTTAAGGCATTTAACTGCTCCTTTGATACACAACAAAATTAATTGCCACAGCATGTTGTTTAGCCTTTCAATACATTAAATGAGCCTTGTAAGTATGGATCAATAGCTGAAGCCTGAAATTAGATTCTCAGGCTTATATTTGGATAATAATTGACGTATGGGCATGAGCCCCACTGACTGCAGTCATTGCAGCAGTGAGGGAGGACAGAAACTTACCTGGAACAGTCTGGATTTATCTGTAGTAATTCAGTGTACTGGAGACATTTTCTTACACATTGTAGTACTTAGTGCTTACTTGGGTTGATTTTTGACAGTTATCATTTGCATTAAAAATTAAAAGTGGAAATTGTTTGAGATTTAGTTTCTTCAGTAGAATTCCAGGAACTGATATCAAATACATTCTTTAGCGGATTAAGACTTAAATTAGGGAGAAAGTACACAAGTAGCCTGTGGTAATACATGTAACTTCTTCCTAAAAGACAGTGATCAAAAGGTTTTATCAACTCTGGTAACTGTTCTGCTTTCAAAATCCAAAATCCTGGTGGAATTTCAGCCAGGTAACGTATTTACCTTTCCCTCCTTTCCCTGCTTTGCCTCCTCAAAACTTTGTACTGTAAGACCTACTGCTGCCTTTTGTACTAGAAAGAGCTTTTTTTTTTTTTTTTAATGTGGGAAGGGTTTTCTTGGTGTATAGTCAAGGATGACAATTGCTAAATGTTATGGTGAAACTGGCCTGGGCTTCTGCCTGTGTCTCACCGTACTGAGTCCACTGATGATCCTTGCGTGGCCTGGCTGCAGGTTTGGCTGTTCCCAGGATCTGACTAGCATACTTCCTGAGACTCTTTGTCTCTTCTGCACACAGAGACAAGAGCTTGTGGCTTAGCTGCTGTGGAACTAGCACTGTCCCTGCTAAATGCTCACATGGCTTGAAGGTGATGCTGAGGGCAACCTGGCTTGCATGTCACCTCTCCAAATATAGCAGGTAGTTTAAACAACAGAAAGGAGCAGCAATGAAAGCGACGAAAACAGCACTGAAAAATATAGGCCCATAAGACTCTAGCAGTGTTGACACCTCTTTCCTTTTTATGTTCCTTCTTGAGAGCGCTTGATCTCCTTGGCTCCTGCTTGTAAGTAAGCATATTCAACTCACTATATGGATGCTCCAGAAAGATTAATGATCTCTTTAACTGGCAATTGTTCTCCCCCTCAAGTGGCATGTACTGTATATCACCAGGCACCTGTCAAGTTGTGGTAGGATCTTTCTTCTGCTGTGCTGCTCTGTGTGCAGGCCCTTCCATGCTCTCTGTTAGCCCAGTTCCTTTGTCTGGGTATGAGTGTCAAGAGACTGTGCAACTTTTAAACAGTTTTTTTTACCCATGTGCTACAAGTTATATTAAGATCTGTATGCAGAAAGGAGGACTGGATTAGATAAAACCCTGATTGCTTTTTCTTGCAGGCAAACAACGCTAGCTGTCTATCTCATGTCTCTGGTGGGAATGATAGTCTATACTTTCACTCTGAGCCTGGGACACCTCTGGGTGGTCTTTGTGACTGCTGGATTGCTGGGGTAAGTTAATGTGCAGTCTGCTTTCCTCAGCATGTGAACTGCTAGAGGATGAGCAGGGAGGCAGAACTCCTGCTGTGGGAGGGACTGGGGAGAGCCATAGCATCTGAATGGCTCCTGCGTGTTTAAGGGCAAAATTATCTGCCCTTCCCATCTCTCAATTGTATGTGTTTCATTAGAATCAGGGACATTATTGTGACTCTGCTCAGCTGCAACCACCTTAATTGTTCCGGGTGATTAAGTGGAAACTTTTGGAAAGCAAGTGGTACCCACAGCCCTATAGATGATCGGTGGACAAGGGTGAAGAGCATGTGGGCTGGAATGGCTCTTTGACTGTGCTGGAGGGTCATGCCCCTTTGAGTTACGGTCTATACTGTACCTCTTCAGTCTTCCTTCTGGCAGTTGCTGAGTCTTCTGTGCTTCATTACAGGTTTTTCATGACAGGATACCTTCCCCTGGGCTTTGAGTTTGCTGCAGAGTTGACATACCCAGAATCAGAAGGAACATCATCAGGGCTCCTCAATGTCTCAGCACAGGTAGGGATGCTGTTTTCCCTTTGCTTGCCTCTTTTTAGGCAAAGAGATTAAATTGTAGTTCCAAGCCTTGAGCCCTATTTCTTGTCCATTATTGGTGTTATGTACTGCAGACCTAAGCACTCTGGGACCTGACTTTTTGAATCATGTTCCTCATGGCATCTCTATAGTGGCAGTTATTCTGTTTCTGTTTAAGAAAATACTTCTTGGTGCCAGTCATCCTTGCCTTTTCCAACATAGCTCTTAACAGTCCTGGCTCATCTCCAGTGAGAGATGAGATTCCAGCTGTTGGGGTCATCTGGCATTCCATTAGCTGCAAGGAGGTGCCTCTGGATGTGTTTATAACCAAACTTTACCCTCACTAGGCCTACTGTTTGACTGGCTTGTATGCTCTGATACTTTGGTAAAGATTGGAAAGAATTTGGGCTGCTTTATAATTACAGTACAGCTTGACATTTCCTTTGCTTGTTTGTAGATTTTTGGTATTGCCTTCACCATTGGCCAAGGGCAAATCATGGATCACTTTGGGACAATGGCAGGAAACCTCTTGCTTTGTTCTGTCCTGTTCCTGGGGACCGTTATGACAGGTAATTAAAATTTTCGGTGTTCTTCTGGTCTGACTTTGCCTTGGGCTTGGCATATTAATTCAAAGCTTTTTTGTGCAGTGCCTGTAGGAAAGGGCAGAACCCACACAGCAGTCCCATAGCAATGCTGTTCCTCTTTAAACATCTGGTCTGCGTTACAAACAAGAGGCAAGGCTTTTTATCCTGGCTCTGGCTGGGGTCTCAAAGTTGTACCTTCTACATGCTGCAATAGAGAATCTCTATCCTGCCTGTTTCAGAAGTGTTCTCAGCCTTGTCCAGGAGAGTGGTTTCTTTTTGTCATTGTAATATGTTTCTGTCTCTTCTGGGGCTTCTGCTGCACCTTTAAGTGCTGGGAGAATTGACTTGGGCACTGCATGGTGACTTGACTGCCTTCACATCTCTCTTCCTCCCTCTGTTCCAGTTTTCATTAAGGCTGATCTCCGAAGACAACAGGCTAATTTGGAACATGAACAGACAGTGAGTAAATCCCCCTTCAGTCCCTGCCGTGCTCAACACCCAACTTCTCTCCTTTCCAGGAAAGACAGTGGCTTGTGGGGAAGCTTGTTGTTGGCATTTTCAAACTGGATGTAATCTTGGCTCTGCCAGCTGCTGGGGCCTCTGTTTGCTCAGTATTATTGTCATGCAGAATCTGTAGGCTCTGGTCCTCTGGGGTTCTGCAGGGCTTCACACATCTTTTTACCGGCTAGGGCCAGATGTAGGGCAGTGCTGTGCTTGCTTCTCTCCCTTGACATTGTGTTGAGGCCTTCACTGCTTTGCTCTTTTTCAGAGCTGAGTAACTATTATTCTGGGCCTCTAGGATGGCAGGTTATTCCTCTTACTCCTTGCCATCAGCTGCCAAGTGAGTTTCAGTCTATGTTACTGGAGGAAACTAAGGTGACAAAGCCTAAGTGAGGGCTTGAGCAACCTGGCTACTCACACTTTGCATAATGCTGCCAACAAGGCTGCTAATTCATACTTGCACACCAAAGCCTGGTGTGTGATGTCCCTGTGGCATACTGTGCAATAAATGCAGCTGTTTGCACATGGGAGAAGGCCTGTGTGAACCAATTGCAGTGGATGGTCAGAAGCTTTCCCTGCAGGGAAAGGGAGGGACTGGTTGCTTGAGGCTATTTCCCATATTGCTCTAGGCTCCTCTTCTAGGATGTTAGCAGAGAGATCCACTCACTGTTCAGGCACCCATCAGCAACCATGACTAGAAAAGTGTGAAATCTCAGATCTCTGCTGTCTTGAGTCAGCTCTATTCAGAAGACAGTGCTGCCCTCCTCCAGTGCTGGTGGTACTGTGAATTAAATTCATAACATGTATGTGGAAGGCCCAAGAAAGGTCCTTTGGCAGTGAAGGTGATGCCTTTTACTAGACTTTACCTTTGTCAGACATTTCTCTCATCAGATGAATTGTACAATTTTGTGTAAGCCATTTTTAGTATAAATCTTCTTCAGTCTAAATACTGTTTTAAGAGCTTGCTGCTGCATGGGGAAGAGCATTGCAACCAGAGCAAAGGTGGTGCTAAAAGTCTCCAGAACTGAAAGTAGTAAGAACCAGAGGGGTGTATGCCACAGAACAAATCTCAGTCAAAAATTTCACTGAGGATTCCCCCTGAGGAAGTCTTGTTGCACACCCCACCACACCCCCAGATGTGTCCTCCACATGGCTGACCTCAGCTGAGTATTCTAAAGCTTAACAACCAACTGCAGGTGCTCGACTGACTGATGGTAGGCTGAATCTAGTGTTCTGCACTAAGATGGGTGCCTCGGCCCTGGGATCAGCCAGCTGGGATCGGGCATTGTGTGCTGCCTTTGTGTAGAGCTCTGACAAAGTCAGGTACTGGAGCTTTTCTATGTGGCACAGCTGCCTTACACATGCTTGGGTGATTTTACTGGTTTCTTCTATTGCCTGTTTCCCTTTCTTATTTTGCTGTGCTTTCATTTCTTTTCCTACTTGCCTCCATATTTTCTGGGATGGTGACTTGTGATTGTCATTACAGAGACTTCAAGGCAGCAATCAGATCATGGATTATGGGACTGTAGCTTTTAACTCTAACCCCATCAATTCCCACTCCTGCTCACTAGCTTAAACCCACCATGGTAGGATAATTGTACTAATCTACTTTGAACACTCAGAGGGTGGCACAGGCACCAAGCCAATGGCATTTCTGGGGTGACTGCAGTGGCTGTAGATAATCAAGAATCTTTCTGGTCTTCTCAGATGCTCAGCTGAGAGGAAAGACAAGACAGCCTCCAAGAACAGAGTGGTGATCCCCAAGACTCATGTCAGACAGAGATGTAGGGATTTAGCTAGGTGCAGCAAAGCAAAGCCTGGTGCTGGAGCAGATGGAGAACTGAACTGTCAGTCATTTTTTAAGGGGAGGAGGTGCAGACATTTGGAGCCATGTTCTCTGACATTATTTTTACAGTCCAGATTCTTGGCTGGAGGTGATACCAGGAACCCTTTAAAGAATTTGCTTTGATCACAGCCAGGGTGCATGGCCAACTTCAAGAAGGAAATTTAAAAACACGTAGCTGGAACAGTCAATGGGTTGGTGCCTTGTGGTATAAGAATGCCTGGAAATTGTAAAGCTCTGTGTTTGTTGATCTGTGAATCTCAGTGGTACTTTGCATTTTCTCAGCTATTGCTTGAGGTGGTATGGTGTGCTTTACTACTCACTGTCCTCTGCTTCACACTGGCAGGCTGGTCTACTAGGCTATTCATGCTACCCTTTGCTTTTCAAGGTGTGATAGATTGTGTGTATCATTTAGTGCCACAGCCAACAGGACTAACGGGCAAAAGCAGAGTGAGTTGAGTGGAAAAACCAGCCTTAAACCTGCTAAGATTAGGGCATGTTCTACAGGGACCATGAAGCTGCTATGCTTTGATGGAAGTTTGAGAAAGAGTCCCATGGGCAGGGGAAGGAGTGATGGTAAATGGAGTTATATCCAGCTGGCATCAGGTCACCAGTGGTGTGCCCCAAGGCTCAGTACTGGGGACAGTCCTGTTTAATGTCTCTGTCGATGAGCTGCATGAGGGGATCAAGTCCACCCTTAGCCAGTTTGCAGACCAAACACCAAGTTGGAGGAGTATTGTTGGAGGGTTGGAAGGCTCTGTAGAGGGACCTGGATAAGTTGGATTCATGGACTGAGGTAATTTTATGAGGCTTAACAAGGTTGACTGCTGGGTCCTGCAGCTGGGTCACAACAACCCCAGGCAGTGCTACAGGCTTGGAGAAGAGCAGCTGGAAAGTTGCCCATTGGAAAAAGACCTGGGGATACTGGTCAGCAGCCACTGAACATGAGCCAGCATGTGCCCAGGTAGCCAAGAGGGCCAGTGGCACCCTGACTTATGTCAGAAATAGTGTGTCCAGCAGGACTAGGGAAGGGATTGTCCACCTTGTACTTGTTGAGGCTGCACCTTGAGTTTTGTGTCCAGTTTTTGGGCCACTCACTACAAGAAGAATTTTGAAATGCTGGGGCATATCCAGAGGAGGGCAGTGGAGCTGGTGAGGGGTCTGGAGCACAAGTCCTGTGAGGAGCACCTGAAGGAGCTGGGGTTGTTTAGCCTGGAGAAAAGGAGGTTCAAGGGAGACCTTTTTGCTATCTACAGTGACCAGAAAGCAGGTCATAGTGAGCTGGGGGTCAGTCTCCTCTCCCAGGTAACAGGTGATAGGACAAGAGGAAACAACCTCGAGTTGCACCATGGGAGATTTAGTTTGGGTGTTGGGAAAATTTCTTCACCAAAAAGGTTGTCAAGCATTGGAACAGGCTGCTTAGGGAAATGTTAGAGTCACCATCCCTGAAGGTATTTATCAGACATGTAGATTCAGTTTTTAGGGACATGGTTTAGTGGTGGACTTGGCACTGCTGGGTAAATGGTTGGACTTGATCTTAAGGGTCTTTTCCAGCCTAAACAATTCTGTGGTTATTGCAAGGAGAAGACTCAGAGTCAGTTGTGAGTTTCCAGAGCATGGAGAGCTGTGGAGTTGTGTAGATCTCACTTTCAATTGAAGCACTGTACCACTGGCTGTGTAGCAGTTTGTCTTCTATTGGTTCCCTCATCTGCTATGGTTATAATTAAAGAAATGTTGCAGTTAGTAGATTAAATTAGCATAATGGCATTGTGTGCACCTTGTCCTCTATTAATTAAGCTGTAGTGTGGTCCCAACAATCCTCCCCACTTTGGTCTGTCTCAGTTTCCAGAGCTCCAGCTGGGTTAGCTTTTTTATCTCAGGACATTTAGATCAAATGCCTGTTTTATGTAATAATGAGGCTCTTTTTGTGCTGCCTTTGTTGTAAATGCATCTGAAGCCATTCCAGTGTTGTGTCTTAAGATTTCATAGTAGTGTCAGTTGATTCAGCACATACATTATACTCATGAATATACTGTGTACTGCTTGTGGTCATATGCTTGTGATTTTCAGCATCCATGCAAACCTTTTTGTATTGTTTCTTTGCATTAAGAAAAAGCATCTTTGCTGATCTTCCATAGTTTTTTTAGGACAACCATCCACCCTCAGTTTCTTACTGGATTCTGTTGGAAGCTGCTCCATGCTTAGCCTCAAGAGAAATACTACCAATAAAAAAATGCTGGAATTTTGTGTAGTAGACACAATGTATACCCATTCTCTGCTTCCCAAACTTCCTTACTCCATTTCTGTGTTTACTGTGTGGCAAGCAGCCTTCTCCTTCTGAAGAAGGCTTTTTTTATGTCCCAAAGCCATAGGCAGGCCATATTTATGCCCTTTTCCAGTACTGTGACTCAAAGCTGTGAGAGCAGCCTTCCTTTCCCAAGGTGGTGGAGCCCTGCACACTGTATGATCTAAATCTGCTCCTGTAGCTCCACAGCAGATGACTGGTGCTGAGATCCCAGAGGTGCTTGGAGGGCCTGTTATGAGTTGCTTGAGTGCTTCCATGGTGCATTCTGGTGGAGTTTCAGAAGTCTAAATGCAGATTTCCTCTTATTTCTACCTTTGGCATTACTTCATGCACTCCCCTACCCTTCCTGCTTGTTGATGATCCCTCTTTGCACTTCCTGGCTTTTGCTTCCAGACATCTCTTTGAAGCTTTCCTTATCTCACTCCTCTGCTTTGGGATACTGCTGCTGACTTCTGTAAAACCTTTTCACCTACAGATTGTGTAAGAACCTACTCAAAATGAGACTGTTTCATATCTCTTGCTTCCATGCTTCCTGGATTTCTCTTGAACTGCACTGGGGATGCGAACCTCTTTCCTGTGCACCCCTGATTTCTGCGTCAGATGTCAGTCTTGCCCTACAGTGAGTAAACTCAGAGCACAGACTGCAGGGAACTCCACATTCACCATTAAAAGTCTGTATGCTGTCTTCTGAATTGGTGACAGCTGGGCTGTCTCACTGTAACCAGAATCAGAACTTGAGAGGTATCAGAAATCCACTAGGGGAAGAAGTCTCAAGTTTAATCCTGACACACCCCAGAAAAGTTCAGAAACTGAGCTTGTCAAACTCCACTCAGGAAAGCTGAACTGGAATTGCAACAGTTTGACTGTTCCATGAAGCTGAGGGTAAGGGTGGTAATTGGGCAGTAGTCTCCATTTTTCTTTGCTTTTCCTCTGGGAAAAGCTCCCTCCATCTTAAAGTTTCAAGAAATTAGGCTAGTTCCTCTACAGGATTTATGGAGAAAAAACTTTTGTATGTTTGCCTCTTATTTCTTATGTCTCCTTAAGATATGAGTAGTGAACTTTGAAGAAGGCATTGGTCTGTGGTATTATCTCAACCATAAATCCAAGGTGGGCTAGGGGAAGAAGCAGAACAGGGGGTGTCAGCACTTCAGTGGGCAATGGGGGTGGGGATGGAAAGACTTGAAGATGAGCAAGGTAAGCAATGTGTCTGGGAGTTGGAGAGGCTTCAGACATGCTGGAGTAAGAACACAGGGGAACTAGTGGTTGTGCTGAGCCTCCTGGGGGTGTGAAGAAAGCAAGTTCTCTCTGGCATTTGCCCAGACACTGTGCTGCTTCATGGCATGAAGGAATTCCCAGCACCTTCCCTTGCCCAGGGAACTGGCCCTGCAACTTTATACTTTGAGGCTGAGCTTGTGTCACAGTGAAATGTTGTTGGTGAGCTGGCTGTGGGTCTGATACCTTCGGTGGTATCAGCCCCACAGAGCTAGTAATGGTCTGAGGACTACAGCAAGTAGCCTAAACAGTCAGACGTTGCACTGCCCTACTGCCCCAGTGCCCCTTGCTTGGGCAAAGTGGCTACAGAAGGAAGAGGGAACCAGCAGCACTCTCTGAGGATGGTGATTCTTATAGGGGATTTCTACACTAGCAGGGAGCTGTGAACTACCCAGGCTCTGGCCAGCTGATGTCTCTGAAGCCTGGGTCTGGCCAGCCAGGATTCTAACCATATTGTTTTTCTCTGACTTGCAGAAAGTGTTGCCAGAAGCCTACGCTAATCCCATAGTCCTTGAGGAATCACAGCTGTGAAATGAAGGGGTGGCAAAGCTGAGAGATACAGCCTCCCTCATTCCCATCTTTTCTACCTGCATCATCCTTCTGTCACATGCACCCCATGGGAAGGGGGCAGCCTCAGGACAGGAGCCCTGTGAACTGCTTGTGGAGAGTGTGAATGAGCAAAACAAGAGGGGGGGTTGTTTTCATGAGTTTTTGTTGCATCTTGCTGTTTTGGTGTTTGGGAGGAAAAGTTGGGGAAATTTGCTGTGTCCCCCCAGTCCCACCATGTATCCTTGGAGAGAGGATGTGCTGAAAAAAGCCATGGTACCAGGCTAACCCTGAGCATGACGGTGGCACCTTGCACGTAGCAGTTAAGTGAAAGGCAGCCACACCTACTTTGTGAGCAGCCCTGGAAGAGCTGGCTCTAGGGAATTAGAGCAATCTAGGGATTGCTCTGCTCTGTTTCCCATGATGCTCTATGTTGCATAGGTAGTAGTAGAGGCTTCAGTACATTTACAGCAAGTGCAAAGCAGGGCACCAGCTGCTGCCAGCTCTTCTTTTACTATTTGGCTTTTCTAGATGAAGCACTCTTAATCTGGATAAACTTCTGCTCAGAATTCACTGGGGTTGCCCTGATGTTCATACATATTAGGAGCAATTAAGAGATTGCCAATATGCCTCCTTCTAGCTTGAGGCAAGGACTAGTTCTGCAATCTAAATCTAGCTTATCACTACATTAGCACAAAAATGAGTCAAACCAGTTTCCCTGTGCTGAGGACTTTGTCTTCCTCCTTAACAAGAAAGTGCCTTTTACATGTTTTAACATTACATACAAACTTTTTGTGAACTGTTATACTGAGAAAACCAGCCAAGGCTGTGTTGCTCTTCACAGCCAAGAGAGGGGTATGATGGAAATCCAGCTTTGCTCCAGTGTGGAAGCTTCCCACTTCATAATAGAGAACAGGAAAAGGTACCCACTTGCCAGCATTTGTGTCTTATAGACACTGCCCATCTATATGCTGTTTATTTTCTAAACGCAATTGTAGATCCTTTTATCACTTCTCCATCCTTTCCAACATCCCTCCCCTGATGGAGACATCAAGTGTCCTTATACACCTTAAATCATTCAATTACTTATGTTTCATTTGAGGCAGGGTACAAAAGCTGTACTGAGGTGGAATGGTTAAAAATACTCCTCTCTGGCAAACTATTTTTTGACAAAATATTTTTTTTTGGTGAAATTTTAATCTTTTTTTTTTTGATACATTATATTTTGATACAGACTGTCTTGAGTTCATGCAGTTCTTAAACAACATTCTCAGGCACATGGTGTGATTCTTAAGGGTCCTGTGCAGGGCCAGGAGTTGGACTGTGGTCCTGATAAATTCCTTCTAATTCAGCATATTCTATAACTGAAGTCCTATCTTTGATAGTTTGGGATTGTGGATGAGGGTTTAAAATGATTTTCAAGAGAAATGTCAATGTAAAATATTAATGTATTTAATATTTTAACTATTTAATAAAATAATTTAAAAAATATTATTGTAATTAATTTTGAATTAATCAAATTAACTATGAATTTAATATGACAATAATTAATTTACTTAATTTTAAATAATTTAATGATTTAATTACTTTATTAATATTAACATTAATATACAACTGTACAATGAAACCTGATACATTCATATTAAATGGTTGAAAAGGATCTATATGTGGCTCATTTAATAGCCTGAAATGTTCTGCAGAATGGAAAAAGCATCTTTCTGCCCAGTGCTACTGCTGTGTTCTTTTCCTCCCTTTGTTTCCTCTTTCTTCTGCATGTGAATTGTCTTCCCAGCTAGTTCCTGCTGGCTTTTTTCTGCATTCTGTGTGCTGCCCACTTATGTTTTGGGCATTATTTTCTCTAGGTCTAAGGCACTTGTTCCTATTTTCTCCATCTTCAGTATTTATAACTTACTAGACAGGAAGCTCCATCCTCGCTCACAGATGCATAGTTCGAGTTTGCTGTCACCAGCATGCTGCAGAAGAGTGTCAACAGCCCTCTTCACGTGTGTTATGTGAGCAGTCAGGCCTGGAACTTTGTGGCAAGGAGCTGGGGAAAGGTAGGTTTGATGTAAAGAGAGATGATGTATTCTGCAACATACAGTGGAAAGTGCTGTTGGCTCTGATCTTCAACCCACTGCTGTGTAGCAGAGAGACAAACATAGCCCACTGCAGTTTTTTGTCATTTATTAGAAACGGTCCCTGGGAAACACACACATGCAAATTACACAGCAGTGCTAGGGGTAGCACCTGTTCTCTCTTTCTGGTCCAAAGTGTTCAACAAATCCTGGACAGTTCTGTCCAGTACACTGTAAAAGTACAGTGGGAGAGCAATCCTTAGTGTTCTGGGCATGCCAGAGACTTCGCCTGCTACCCAGGGAGTCAGTCACCAACTGCCTTGCATAATCTTTGACACAAACTTCTCTGGGTCTTTGACATCAGTCAGTTGAAACGTTGCCTGGACAAGACAAAAACAACTTGATAATGACAGTGATTGACAGTCCAACATTGACCCACCAGTGGGATTGTTGTCCTGGAGTTCAGCTGAGCTCTTGTGGAAGTCTGGCAGTGAAGGTAGCAGATGACACCAACCTACAAAGTGCCCTCAACTTCAGTTTTTCTTCTTGTTTTGTGATAGCGCTTCTACTTCCAGGTACTGCAGCCCAATCAACATCCCCATAATAGAGAAACCTGTGATAGAGATACAGGATGAGTGGTGTAGAAAATGCTGGACAAGAGATGAGACATCCCCTCAGCCCATAGCTGCATGGGGAGTTTTTCCGGGGTGTCATAGCTCCAAGGAGACTATGCATAGGGAGGAAGCAGAGCTCTACTTACTTGCTACCATAAGGGGTGCCATAACTCCAATTGTCAAGGCTGCAGTGTGGTATATGAAGACCTCAGAGAGGAAGTGAGCAAGGGCCAAAAAGAAGGTAAAGAGTGTGATGTGATAGAGGCTGTTGAAGAGCAGAAAAAAAGCAGGTTATTGTATCATACTATGGGCATGAATATGGCTGAGTGGAAAAAAAGGCAAACCTGCATGCTGCTTCATCTGCTCTCACTGGCAGCACAGAGAGGACTTTGCCCCTTTCCTAGTGAGGTGCAAAATCCCTATGGGCAACAGCTGAGGGGAGAATGGGGCAGCATGTTCAATGGTGCATTGAAAGTCACAGGCATTATCTGGCCTGAAGGAAGGTGAAGAGGGGAGAACATGAGTAGGGCACCAGTGAAATATGTGCACATGCAAAAAGAAGGTGAGAACTGTATTAGCAGAGAACTAGGGTGACAGGAGTTGGCTGACTTTAGGCTGCATCACCCAATGTCTTCCTACCTGTGCTCTGCTACCCTCTATGGGTACAGCTGTTGAAAAGGGAGCAGGTTCAAAAGATGCAAGATTTTTGCAAAAAAAAGAGGCAAAATTCCTCAAAGAAACAACTGATTCTTGGTAACTGCCTGAAAACATACTGTTTAGTCCCTGCACCTCCCTACCTCAGATAAGCGTAGGCAATCCATGCCAGGATACTGCACATACTGCCAGGTAAACAGTGACTTCTGCTATGGTGAAGCAGTAACAAAAGCGTTTTAGCAACCTCCAGTAAAGGCTTTGTCTAGCACAGACCTCAAGTCAGCTTGCTTGGAACCCCTCTCAGAAACACTTCTGTTAGCACAGGGAGAAATGGTGCGTCTCCCGCTCAGCACCAAGCTGCCCCTCAGACCTTGTTGTCGGCAGCAGGTAAGAGTGTAGGAAAGAAAGCAACCAGTTAAGACCACTGGGCACCTAAAACTGTCCCAGTCTTTAGCTAAGCTGTCATAGTAAAAGAAGTATTGAGCATCAGTCATAGTCATACCACAGCATTAGCAATTGCTTAATTAACAAAGAGGCAACACTAATCAGAAAACTTTCCAAGCTGGAGCTCAGAAATTGGTGACAGTAAGAGGTTCTCAGATCTGCCGGTTTCTGACTGAGCTAAGAACACAAACGCACAAGCCGTCCCCACAGAGGAGGAACAGGGCAGCAGCTATCAAACAAATCCCACATTGCTATTTGAGCTTCTTCAGGGGAATGCTGTCAACACTATAGAAAGTTCAGGAATAGCTTTTGATTCCCCACCTCCTCTGTGCCGCCCCCTACGCTCAGGCTGTGTCTAGCAAACACACCAATGGATTTCTCGGGTGTTGCTTTACATACGTCCTGTTACGGATGTCGATTGCGCAGAGGCAGCGGATCACTGATGACAACAGGGTCCAGACGCCGAAGGTCCGAGCCTGGAGCCCATTCACTGCGTAAAGAAGGAGCGAGCACATGGAGGTCACGCACGGCTCTGCCTGCCACCTCAAGTCCCGCCGCGGAGGCGCACGCCGCGGCAGTAGGCAGCTCCCGGGCCCCAGAGGTAGGAGCCCGAGGAGAGCCCAAGGCTCACGGCTGGAAGGGGACCTCCAGGCGCCAGGGCGACCGGCGCGGCCCTTACCGAGGCCGGGGCTGGCGGTGTACAGCTTCTCTGAGAGGAAGCCGTGATCGCGGAAGCTCTGCAGGGTATTCCCGGCGGCGATGACCGACACCATCACCAGCCAGCTGCGCAGCACGTTCAGGAACCGGCTCATCCTCCCGGCTCGAACGGCGCCCGCCAGGCCCAGGTTGAGTCCCCCTCCCGTTACCGGCGGCGCTCCCGCGGCGGCACCGGAGCCCCGCCCGCGCCACCGCCCAGCGCTCCGATTGGCCGCTGCGCGCCGCTCCATGCGCGCCACGTGACGTAACATCTCCTCCCGCCAATCGGATCCCTCGCCGCGCGGGAGGCGGCCCCACTCCCGTCCCCGCCCACCTCGCGGGAGTAGGTGGGAGCGCCGGCAGGGGGCGGAGTCGGGTGCGCTTGCGCAGTGAGGCGGCGGGGGCGCCTGGACGCCGGGGCGGGGCCGCCGCCCGTCGGTTGTTGTAGTAACGGGGAAGCGGCGGGAGGGGCCGGGGTTGCCTTTGTGCGCCCGCCCCGGCGCGGCCCGGCCGCCGCGGGAGCAGGTACGGGGACCTGCAGGCTAGAACGGGGACCCGCTGCCTTAGGTGCTCCCCGCCGTTCTTGCTTCTTCTGGGGCCGCTGGAGGTCGCCGTGCTTGGCCTGGCGCGGGGTAGGCCGGGCCGTAGCCGCCCCTCCGGGCCGGAGGGCCGCTCCTGCGCCAGTGGAGGCGTTACGGTGTCCGGCTGGCCCCGGGCGGCGGGGCGGGCTTGGCGGGCGTTTCCCGTTGGGACTGGGCTGGCGTGGCGTGGGTCTGCGGCTCGAGGCGAAGCAGGGCGGGGCAGGGACGCGCGTTACCGGTAAGCGCCCGAGTGGCTCTCACGGGCAGGTGCGGAATAATCTGCTGGAAGGTGATGCTTCTTTCTGTGCTCTCGTGGCTCGGAGGTGATGTTTGACAGATCACAGATGTTTAACAGACTTGTTGATAGTCCTGTGAGAAATATGTACTGGCTGGAGGTGGTAGTTACCTGATACCTCTCGCTGTCCTGCTCAGCTATTTATTCCTGCTTTTAATCCTTATTGCAGGTAACTGCTCTTGCAACTAGGATTGGGCTCTATGAAAACTCCCAGAGGAAATGCCAGTTAGGATGGCTAAAGATCTGGAGGAAACTGGCTCATCTGCAGAGGAGGAAGAAGATGCTTTAGATGGACTGGAGTAAGTAGAAAAAAAATTCTCTGAACTGTTTCTATGTCCCTGTGTTTTCTGGTGGATCTGTAGTAGTTTGAAAAGATATATGCATTCCTTACCCTCTTACTGTCCTACCTATGAAGTGGAAGATGATTTTTTTGGGCCTCAAGCCTGTGGGCAGGGTACTTCCATCTGCAGCCTAAAAGACCACCACATTCATCAGGGTTGGATGTGCAGCTTTTCTTTGGCTCCTCTGAAGCCCATAGTTTCATGGATTTCTTTCTGTCGTGTTCTTAAAATGGGAACATTTTGTTCATATCTGACCCTTTTTCATTTTCCTTTTTTTTTTTTAGCATGTGTGGGGTTTTTTGGTGGGTTTTTTGTGTATGTGTCATTTGTTTTTTTTAGCTTTTACTGCTGCAGAAGTTAGAAATCTGCTGTACAGTAGATTGATATATGATATTTTCTGTCATTTTTATAAAACTGTCTTTTGATAACTACTTAGACTTCATATTTCTTACTACTAACAAATCATAATGTTTGTTCCATCTTTGTTTAGTAACTTCTTTTAGCTCTACTTGTGAAGAAATTGCTCCCTTATTCTTTCCCATAGCAGAGTCACTTCTGTTTCACCTGGACTTACTTCACTGTGTCCTGTTAGGGCTTATTTGGGTGCACATTGTGACTGAGTGCCCAGCTGCAGACTACAGTGACTTAAGACATTTAGAGGAATGTTGCTCGATAGCAAGTGGTTGGCTTAGATTTGCTAGATCCTCATGGATGGAAAGGTCCTGAACTAATTTCGAGTAGAATTTAACTGTATCAGTATGTGTGCATCAAGTGACCAGGGGTCATGCTAGGAATGAATGACTGTCACCTGGAGGATTGAGCCTTGCTGCAAATCCTCAGGACAAGCTTAGTATAAACTCTCGTCCTGTTGCCTCAGCTCATTTTCCACTTACATAAGGCTCTGGCCTGTATGTAAATTCTGGAAGCTTCTTGGGTCTCTTCCAGTCTGAATATCTAATTACACCACAGTTGTAATTTTTTTTTTTTTTTAAATTATTTTTAGAGGTAGTAGAAGGAGGTGGAAGTGATGTGAAGTTAACTTGTCTGGGTGATAATGATATTAACTTCATTAAGAGGACCAAGGCTGCCCTTAAGAGCCCCTGTCCTAGCATCAGAAAGCTGCCCTTCTATCTCTGTTCCTTTGTTCTGAGTGTCAGAGCTGTGTTTTGTCTTGTGTAGCTTCTCCAAACCTTTGGCAGGCGATGATCTTTCATATTCTGTAGACAAATAGTTTTGTATATCTCTTTTAGTCTTTATATTTCTTCTTGTTAGTGTACAGATGTCTCTCCAACCCCTCAGTCTTTGTTTTCTGTTAACTTTTTCATATTGTTAATTTCCTTGTGTAGCGGTAATAAAAAGCCTGAGTTTTACTTGCCTATGGAGGATGATAGTTTTTCTTTGTGTGATCCTTGAATTTGATATAACAGGTCTTAATTTTATTGGTGTGTCCTTAATTCCTCTGAGGAGATGGTATTTCCCAGTGTAGTCTTGTTGTTTTGTACAGAACTGATCACTGCATCTCAGAGCCTGTAGCTTGAGTTGTGCACTGGGGGGCATCGTTCTTGAATTCTGGCCTTGCATTCCACTGTATCTGACAGGAATTAAAAAGAAAGAATACACAGCTTTATCCATTGTGTTGAGCCAAGTCTGTTCTAATCTGTCAAACTCAGCATTAGTGCTTTTTTTGTGCACTTCAGACTCCAGTATTATAGCCAGGCGGACTGTGCTGACCTGCAGTTCTAAAATTGGAGCCTGGAACCTGCATTGCAAGGTCTGGTTGTGTGGATACCAGCAATTATGGTTTATCATGAATTATAGATCTTGTTTTCAGGCTATAAATTCAGGGAACTGTAGCAGTGAAAGCTCATGAGGCCTCTCCAAAATGATACCCACTAAAATAAATACAGGACTAAACAGGATTGAACAGAACTCAGACTGACAAGACCAACTCGTAAAGAGGGTGATCTGGAAGGTAACCTTTATAGCCAAGTACCAAAGGTGCTGTATTGCATTTGTGTGGCCAGGTTTTGGTAGTGGGAGGGCTACAGGGCTGGGTTCTGTGAAAAGTTGCCAGAAGCTTCCTCCATGTCTGACAGAGCCAGTGCTCCGATATGGACCCATCACTGGTCAAGATGAAGCCCAGGAATGATGGTAGAAACACCACTGTGATAACATATCTATGAGGAGAAAAAAAAGTTATTGCATGGGGGTAATAGTGCTCAGAGAAGAGAGGAGTCTGAATATGTGACAAGAAGAGCTCTGCAGCCACCTAGGTTGGAGGGCAAGGAGGTGCTCCAGTTGCAAGAGATGAGATTCCCTGCAGCCTGTGGTGAAGTAGCTATGCCCCTGAAGTCCATGAAAATCTGTGGGGGTGCAGAGATGCACCTACAGCTCGTGGAGGAGCCCTACACTGAAGCAGGTGTATGCCCAAAAGAAGGTTGGGATCCCATGGAAAGCGTGCTCTGGAACAGGCTCCTAGGAGGGACCTCCAGACCTATGGAGAGAGGAGCCTACCCTGGAGCAGATTTGTAACCCCATGGGGGACCCATGCTGGAGCAGCCTTTTCTTTAAGTATTACACCCTGTGGAGAGGGACACACGCTGGAGCAGTTCATGAAGAACTATAGCCCATGGTCAGTTTTCACATTGGAGAAGTTTGTGGAGGACTCTGCTGTGGGAGGGACCCCATGCTGGAGCAGGGTATGGACTCTACTTGAGGAGGAAGCAATGGCAGAAGCAGCGTATGATAAACTGGCTGTAACCCCCATTCCACATCTCCCTGCACTGATGAGGGGAAGGGGGTAGAGATTCAGGAATAAAGTTAAGCTCAGGTAGGAGGGGGAGGAGTGGGGGAAGGTGTTTTTAATATTTGATTTAATTCTCATTATCCTGCTCTGATTTTGATTGGTAGTAAGTTCAATTAGTTTCCACAAATCGAAAGCCTGTTTTCCACAAGCCCACTCTTGCCTGTGACTGTAATGGGTGAGTGATCCCTCTCTGCCCGTAACTCATGAGTCTTGTGGTAAATTTTTTCTCACCTGTCCAGCTGTGGAAGGGAATGATGGAGCAGCTTTAGTGGGTGCCTGGCATCTAGCCATCACAACCACAAAACTCTGGCTGAAATGCCAAGACTAAATTTCTTTGCTACCTTGCTCACCGGGGGATTCCCAAAGCAGCATCAGAGGTGTGCAAGCAGAGAGGCAGGCACTGTGGAGCTTGGTCCGTCCTAGAGGATCACTGAAGCTGCTGCTTGCACCTCTTTTTCAGGGATTCTTGCAGGTGTATTTTACCACTGTGCTTTTACCTTTCCCACTGCAGGGCAGGAATCTCAAGCATGTTTGATAGAGTTCCTTGAGGTCTATTGCAGTGCTGTGCTATCTGACTTCAGATGGTCTACCTGTGAAACAAACAAAGATAGACAACAGTTAAAATGTCATATGCATTTTTCTATACCCAAGCTGTAAGTCACTTAGGTATCTTTACAGTCCTCCTCACTAATCTTCCACTATTTTCCTCAGCATGTTTGCTTTTGTGCTGTCCCCAGGCTAGGTGAGTAAATGTGGAGAATTGCTGTGTCGTTATTGTAACTAACTGCAGTAGGTATGAGGCTCAGCAGTTGCTTATACTGACTGTCTGTCATTTCAGGGATCATCCATGTATCAAGTGGACCGGTGGTGGCTGCAGGCGGGTCCCTGTCTTGGTATTTCATGCTGAAGCCATTCTGACTAAGGACAGCTACCTCCGTCTAATTGGAGGTGGGTGCTACTTACTATATGCCAGCTTTTGGTTTGAAGGCACGAGGTAAAAGTCTCTTACCTGACACTCCCTTCACTTTGTGGTGGGAAGAGGACGTGATAGGAAAGAAATCAGAATCTTCTCTAGTCTCTGACCACTGTGACATTCAGAAATGCTAAATCTGTTGGTGAATGCTTTTAATGTCTTTAGACTATGATAAGTGTCTGTCCCTTCACTGGGCCCTGAAGTGTTTTGAGTTGGAACTGTCTGCTTGCAAATTGAACTCGGAGGCCATGCTAGAGCTTAGAACCAGAATACAAATTCACTACAGCTAAGACCTTAAAATCAATCATTGTAGTGAGTTTTGAGAGCATTTCACTGGGAAATAAAGCAGCCAGCCCCACAGCTGAACAATGATAATCTGTAGTAACAAATCTCTGAGTCTACAGCCTCACAACCCTGAGAAGGCCATTAACAAAATGGTTGCTGGCAGCACTTGAGTTGGGAGACCAAACCTGTCTAGTGACAGATAATGGAGAGCCTCTAATGAGGCTGGGTTGTTATAAACAGTCACTTTGGATTTGAAAAGTTAGTACTTGTGGGTGTGTACAGCTGGGAGCTTGTTCTGGATGTGCTGACTTGGAGGAAAGCTAAAATCTACTTAGCTTCTTTCTGTGAAGCTGCTGACACTTCTTTCTTCTCGTTTTTTCCTTTCTTAGGTAATTGGTGCTTTTGTTTCTATTATCCTATCCAAGCAGAAATGCTTCTGGCTCATTGGGGTAAGGGGTGGAGAAGGTGATTTATATGTGGAAACTCCTGGTCCTTTTCATGTGAGTTAAAAACATACTTGGATGGTGCCAGAAGCTGATGGCAATTGTAACTCATTTTTACTGGAGCGTGGGGTCTCTTCTACTTTTTCTCACATGGTTTAACAAGTTTACTGCTGAATAGTGCAACTTGTTAAATTTCTTCCAGCTTTGTTTCGTTCCTGATTATGCTACTTCTTACTTTTCTGACTTACTATTGTTGAAAGAACATATTCCCTGAAGTTAAATCAAATCTTCATCCTTTTATTCTCAGTTTGAGTCAATTTGTAAGCTGCCTTTTCTAGGCAGTTCTGTATTCTAGCGTTGCAATTTCTTTCTCCACTGTCTTTGAACTCTTTTGTAGATTGCCACGTCCTTTTATAGTACAACTGACCTCTAGTCTTGCTACTTGCTTTTGGTTTATCTTATACCTCCAGGGCTGCTTACTGACATTGTTTTTATGACTTTATACTTGCATAGTGAGTTTATCTTTTTATTTCCTTGTACTATTTACTTTATTTCTTGCTGTATTTGCGCTTTTTTGTTGGAAGATTGGTACAGGTGAGTGAGATGTAAACAAAAATTCAGTGCTTTATTTTGGGTTTTCAGGATCTAAAATGTGATCACATAAACTAGCCATGTCAATGAGGGGCATTAGACACGATTACTTTTAGCTAAGAATACCAATATTGAATAGAGAAGAAAGCTAAAATCATGTTTGGAGTGTTATAAAGCAGTCTGTATAATGGAAGGTTTAAAAGATAAAATCTGGGTATTTGTTATACTGTCCAGTGCATTATATGTTGGGATTCTGTGATGCTACTATGTAATAGCTAAGGATTGATGTAAGTCAGTTCACTGATGCTGATGTTGGCATTTCCTATCTCCCTTTGCCTGTTATGTGCTGCTACTCTCGGTGAATTAAGTGCAGCTGTACTGTCTGAGTCCTTTTCTTTGGTAGCATGAGTGACTTTGGTTTGTTCTTCCATGTGCAGACTCTAATCCTGTGTCTCTTTGCCTCTTTACAGAGCGCTTCCATATGTCGTATAAGATTGTGCGAACAGACAGCCGGCTGGTTCGGAGCATTCTGAGTGCCCATGGATTCCATGAGGTGAGTGCAAGGAACTTCTGACCTGATTTTGTGCTGGGCTGGGAGGTAATGATAATGTTTTTGGATTTTTTGGGGGTTTGTTTATTTGTTTTAAGTCTGCAGGGCTGGAACCAGGAAGTCGTTGTGGCCCCTCTTGAGGTTTTCGGTTTTGTCTTTTAATGTACTCTGCTAGTCAGACTGAAAAGATGTCATTTTGCTCTCTCAAAGGAGAACCCATTAGTCTTAAGACTTCAAAAATAGGGGAAAAGGAATGCCGAAGTTTGGTCATGTGTTTTTTCTCTTTTTGCTTTTAAAGTGTGACACCCTTGGGAAAATACGAAGGATTTAATTTCTCAGCCTTTACAAGCTCTCAGAAGTGTTCATGTAGAATTTCACATGTTTCATGTAGAATTTTCTTCTAGCGCCTGTCTTGCTCTAAAGAATGTCCTGTATGCAGCTAACAACAATTTGAGGGATGTGTAGGGTTGATTTTTTTTTCAGAATAACAGCAGCTTAAGGAATTGATCTGACAAGTTTTCTGAAGAGATTTAAAATGCTTTACAAACTGTGTTTAAACCGTCTGTCAAAAATAACAGTCTCACAACTTTGTTTAGAAAAATTTGACATGGTTACTTCCCACCATGGGAATACCTCAGGGCAGCAGTCTGGCTGGACTTGCGCTTGTATTAGAGATAATAGAGAAGACTGTCATAAACTAGAGTTGCTTTGGCCTTGTAGATCTAGGGACAAAGGTGTTGCTTTTCATTAGTTTGATGTTTTTCTGTGTGGTGTTTTTTATGTTGCTTTTTAGGTTCACCCTAATAGCAGTGATTATAATCTCATGTGGACAGGATCACACTTGAAGCCCTGCTTGCTGCGTTCCCTTACAGATGTTCAGAAAGTCAATCATTTCCCTAGGTAAGGCCTTGATACCATGTTTTGTTGAACATCTCTGTGGTGATTTGCAAAAATCTGAACATAGATACCTCCCAGAAATAGAATATACATGGTGCTGTAGAATCCCAACAGACTGGGCTAGTGCCACATGCTGTCATCATTCTTAATGGTCTTTGGGATTTTTGGGAAGTAGTATATGAATTAAAATGCTTGTCTGTAGCCCAAATATTGGATTTTTAATTTTATTTTCTTTATTTGATGATGAATTATTTGTTACTTCCGGTTTTTAGTTAGAGGGATAGTCCTATGTCCCCAGCTAAAGTTAGTAACCACCATTATAACAGATTGCTGTGCTTCACTCTGTCTTGGGAATTGCAAGAAGTGCCACAAACGATATTAATACAACCATAAGACAGAGGCAGTAAAGCTTGAGAGTAGTTGCAGTTTAGGGTTTAGACATCTGACAATGCTGCAGATACTTCAGTAACTAGGACAAAGAGTCGCTATAATGTTGGGGGAAAAAATAGATTCAGTCTCTTGTTTTGGGACTCCAGGTCATATGAACTGACACGGAAGGACAGACTGTACAAGAACGTCTGTCGAATGCAGCTGGCCCATGGGTTCAAGACATTCCATATCTTACCTCAGACCTTTATCCTCCCGACAGAGTACCAGGACTTCTGTAGTAAGTGAAGGGCTGGTGATGCCCAGACATAAAACAAAATAATGGGGGGTGGGGGGGAAGGGAATTATTTTTAATATCCTAGCTTTTTGATCATGCCAGTGGTTAAGGCAACAAAATTAGAGGAAAAAAAAAAGCTGGGAAGAGAGTAGAAAAGGTCCATGTGATTTCTTTACATAATTTCTAATCTTCTGTTTACTCCATGCCTGTGTAAGTTTTCAGAAAGCTGATGTAGGCTTAAGACTCCAAAATGGAGGAGTTTATATGTGCACAGCATTGTTGATGATCAGCTTCACAATATCCCTGCCTAATGCCTGGGAGTACTGAAGTGAGAAGTGCCGAAAGGAGGCATAGTGCCGAAGAATGGTCTATCAGAGCAGCAGGGAGGGCTTTAGGGAGGGGCTGGAATAATTGCAGTGATTCCAGAGGGGTGAAGTAGGACATCAAAAAAGCAGAGTTTGATCTCCTTGTGGAGTTCCCTAAAGTGTTTACCATAGGCAACAGTCTTGATTCTTGCTCCCCTGTTAATAAGCAAAACAGAAAATATTGCAGACTTGTGCTGTTTTCTTTTAACCAGATACCTTTTCTAAGGACAGAGGCCCATGGATAGTGAAGCCTGTGGCCTCTTCCAGAGGTCGAGGTGTCTACCTGATAAATAATGTAAGTGTTCACTAAAAAGACTGCTCTTCAGTAGCACTATCCTCAAAACTATGTTGGGTTCCAGGCAAGAGGTATGGAGGCATCTAACTGGCCTTACTCTCAATTTCAGCCATATATTGGTGAGCAGTTCAACAGCCCTGAACAGCTTGGAAGGCATGCCTGGGCTTGTGCTGTGTAACCAGAAGCTGTCTATCTCTTTTTATGCTCTGCTCATCTTGCAATCTACCTTCAAGTCTTAGCTTATTAGGAGCAAGTTTATACTCCCTGAGACAGTTTGGGAAGCTGTGCTGCTTCATGCTATCTTTGTGGCTGACAGTAGGCTGACCTTGTGGAGATTTCCAGAACTCTCCTTAGTTGTTTCCCTGCGTGACCTAAAGAGTCCTCAAACAGACCTGTTGTCTCCCACTTCCCCATGGAAAAGACGAGTTTAAATGAACCTTGATAGAGTAGGAAGTGTATCAGTATTAAAGCTATGTTATCTAAAGGTCCTGCCTGAGGTGTAATGGGAGTACTTCTTTGAAATCAATGTGCAGGTTTTAATGTCTTTTGCTCTTTGTGGGCTTTGCAGGGAGTTAAGTTGTCATAGGTAACAAATATATCTGAACTGGAGCCAAACACATGAGGGGATTCCAATAAATATGCTCAACAGCAGAATGACTGTTGAGTCATTTTGTTTTCACTCATTCAAACCCCTTTAGCCTTCCCTGCACTCAAGGGGTCATGCTGCCTCATCTGTTCTCTACTTGGATCATTTCCCATAAAATATGGGAGCAATTTGCCAAGTCTATGAGGTAAGTATTTCCAGAGCTATGCTAAGTTTTTTCTTTGCTTGAAAGAGAGGAATGAGCTCAGGCTCACATGGCAGTTGGCCATGACCTGGAGAAAATACCCTTCTGGGACCAATATCCCTTTGTGTATTTCTGTTTGAGAAGCACTACAGCTGGTTTGGCCTACAGGACAGTTTCCTTCAGTGTGATGCCATTAAAAGAGTCTTTCAGAATCTCATCACAAAAGTTTTTGAAAACAGCTAGAACCCTTCGAAACAAATAACAAACCTTTGCATTTCCCTGATCTATATAGAACAGTGTGTCACTTTTGTGTGATATTCTAAGGAAAACTGAGCTTGTTATCTCACATTCTGTATAAGCATTTTATATGCTTAGGTTTTTTGCTTGTGATGTTGGTGTTGTGGCTGAATAGATTCAAAATTGAATAAAGGTAGAATCTTGTGATTCTCTTGCCTCTTTCGCAAACTAAAGGCAAGAAAGTCTTGTGCAAGAAACTGATTACAAGAGAGCCTTGCATACAGAAAAAAGTAAAAGCTTTTTCAACAGATCCCATAACTTTGTGATGTGTATTTGTCATAGTTGGAGCTTTCTGTTCTTACCTACAAGCATAGCTTCTTTTGGGTACAGCAGGAGCTCCTGCTGTGAACTGACACTCAGTAGAAGGTAGGCAGAAAAGTTGGATACCAGCCCAGAATGTAGTTATAAAGATCACAAGTTGAGTAATTTTCTTCACTTGTGACTTCATCACCAACTGTAGTTGCATACTCCATCCTGGGTCTTCTAAACCTCTTCTCCATGTCTTTGGTTAAACCCTTGAGAAGCAAACAGAGTAACAGTTACTTCTTAGATGTGTTTTTTTTTTTTTCTTTACATCATTGCCATGTGGCTGTTAAATCTCTGGTACTCTGAGTATTTTACTGGAAAATTCAATTAGCAGGTTTTTTTGGCAATGTAATCATTCCTGGACTTCTCTTTAGGATCTAATGACCTTAAATGTGTTGCGACTGACAGTTATGTTTTTTCATTTTGGTTTTATTTCTTCCTTCCTCAGACATCGTTATTGGTACAGGGTGGCTTTAGGAGGGAAAGGCAGGAAAAAATGGTGGATTTGATCTAATTTCTTCTTACACTTTACATCTCCTGTTTTTTCACTCTTAAAATCTCTGTTCTTCTGCAGCCAAATCAAATTGTAGTGGAAGACAACATTTTGGTGTCTCGTTATATCAGCAATCCCTTGCTCATAGATGGTGAGTGTACTTAGGAATTGCTTTTCTCCCTTTCCCCAACCCTGCATCTGAGGATCTCTGCAACCTTTGCAGGAGTTTAGTTGAATAATTGAGTGGTCTAGCTTGGTCTAGCATTAGACAAATGTAGCTAGATAATTCATTAAAACCTGGAAGCTTTTCAACTTCAATAGCTTCAGCCACCTATTCAGCAGTAGATAATAATTTATTGCTCTCAGAGTCTGTTGAAATTCCTCAACTAGCTATGATGTCTGAAAGATATTTGCAGTTACTGACTTGTTGACAACTGTATTTCAGATTTCAAGTTCGATGTGCGTCTCTATGTTCTGGTGACATCCTATGATCCACTCGTCGTCTATCTCTACGAGGAAGGATTGGCCAGGTATGAGAGAAGTCTTTGTTTTTCAGTGTACCTGCGCTTGGTGATCCAGACATTTCTTGGATTGCCTCTCTACTCCTGAAACAATAGTAAAATGAGGAAAGTGCCAGTTAGGGAATTCTGAAGAGTTTAAATAGATGGTACTTCATCATGCTGTGTCCCATCAGGTTTCTTCATATAGATTATAGGATCTTGAGTGAGGGATTTTATTTTTTTTATATATAATTAATAAAACAAGTTTTCAGCTGTCAAAGGTTGAATGGCCAAACAGGTTGTCATTGGCATGTTCATTCTCAATGCTGAGTTCTTCTTGAAACTTGGGATTGTTGATACCTTTGTGCCTCTTCTCTATTCTCTGAGGAGAAGGGAATCCAAGTGTCCTCAAATTTATCCTAAAAAAAAAGTAGTTGGAGATGTGTTAATGAATGAGCTTAGTGACTCATTCATTTCAATGACTTCTCTAAATTTTAAGTCAGCATTTGTATTTTCTGCAGTATCTACTATGTGGTTTTAGGCTAGTTCACTATTTTCACCCTTCAAGATAACAATTTTCCTTTGCATGTAAGTCATGAAAGGACATCTAAGATTCCCTAGAATCAATACTTGTCTACCAAAAATACCTGTTTTTCTTTGTCCCCGAAGTTTAGCAAAATGTTTGTCTGTAGTAAGTAATGGATTTGAAGCAATCACCCCTCTGAATTCCCAACAGATCAGAGTTTTAACTGTAGTGATGTTTGAGAAAGGAACACCACACAACTGTCTTCAGCAATTATTTTAAGTAACGCTGTATCTTTCTTACAAGCACATCTGATTTTTGGAATATCTCTGGGGTTCATGCCTGACATGGCTCTGACTTGGGTAGGTGCTGAATCCAAATTATCTTTGGATAATAGTATCTCCAAGAAGATAATGGATCCCAAAGAATACATAAATAATGACCCCACAAGAAATATCTATTAAATTGTTGAACGCCCTTTGGGTATGTTGTGATGTGCTTCTGCCCGCAAAGATAACATGAACATATTTTTTCCGTAAAAGGAGGCAGAAAGGGGAAAGCTCGTCTTCGTAAGTGGAAAGCTTACGAAAACAACTGTGTTCACTTTAGAAAGGGAGCCTTAAACATGCCAGTCATGCAAGACTTTTCTCTTGGGAACTGGCAGCTAAATTGTTAGCTGCTAATATTGCATGTTTATGGAAAGTGAAGAGAGAAACAAGGTAGTGTAGAATTCCGGCATGTTTTCAGAATGGGCAGTACATAGCAGGCCTTTAAAAACAGGATTTGCACCATCATTAATATCTTAAAGGTGGTTCTGCTGATCTTGTAACAAAGGAATTTCTAGAAAATTCATCTGTATAAAGGTAAGTATTCTACTCTGAGGATAAGTGTGCATTTTTGCCAGTAGAGTAATATATTTTGCTTGAGGGTAAGAGTGTGGAAGTGCATATGATATATATTCAGAAACATCAGTCTCAACAATTCTGGACTCTCAGTCTTCCATGCTCATCTTCTCAGTTCCCCTCTGGCAGCAATACTTGCAAATCACTTTTCAGTGTTCTGAAATCCTTAGCAGTTTTGTGTGTTTTGATTGCATTTATTTAAACTGTAATCAAATCTGGTGCACATGGTGTTTACACACATGACGAGTGGAACATATATCTACAGGACACCACAGTATTACTTACTAAAGTTTTCCTTTCTTTTGAACTGCATCCCCTCCTTCAGCTTTCTGTGAGAGGTAGATTGTATATGGAGACTACATGTAGCACTAGGTATCTTAATGCTGCTTTGTGGTATAGTACTCTACCAGTGCAACTATGGAAGAGGTGTAGAGGAAATTAAATTATGAGTTGTTGTCTCTCTCCCAAGAGAGGTAACTCTGGGCTCTGGAGAGTAGCTCTGGCTCTGTTACTAAAATTCAACTGACCACTGAGCAGTTTCAGCCGAAGTGTCAGCTATGGCTAAGGACTTGTAGTTGAGTGCTTTCACACGGTAGCTCTAAGTTTATTGCAACCAGTACCTTAAGCTTTTCCCATCTACTGTGGCTGAGCAGCTGGTATGTTCATGCTGCAAGTGCTGGCAAGATCTCTTTGGAGGACGAGGCTCAAGGTGAGCTGAGGCTGATAAAACTTTAGCTGGGCTGTTCTGTGTGGCCTCCAGATGGCACTAGTGGTCTTTAGTTGTAGCAATTTGCGTTTTCCCCATACCCTGCATTTGCAGACTCAGTTGGTGAGAGGTAAAGGACCTGGAGTTACTGGATTATGGCTTCCTATTTAGCCGTTTTGCCATTCATTTTACAGTGTGAGTTATGTGCTGGGAGAGAGCACTGTATTGCCTCATATAGTGCAATGCTTTGTTTTAAAGCTGGGACAAAAGTTTAGCTCTGCAGGGGGAGGAAAATGTTTTAACCTTGGAAAATAGAAGCTGTTTTTAATGCTTTGCTTAAGAAAAAAAGAACAACCATGCTGCTTAAGAGTAGGTAGAAACAATTTCTAGCAGAGACCTGGGAGGTAATGTCAGAGTCTGTAATCAAAGGTGGTGTAGAAGCAATCTAAAGTGAAAAATACCAGCAGAAGAAAGCAGTCTGGTTTTGGAATCTCACCTTGTGCTTGTGGTGCACTATGGTGACTGCCATGTTGTGAATTTGCTTTCTGAAGGCAGATAGTCTCTGAAGTGTAGTAAGGGTGAGCCTAGCTTGGTGTTTTAATTTTTTTTTTCCATTTTCTTAGTCTGTCTGAAAGATCATGTTCCTCTCTAGTGTTATACTTTGCATATTCCAAGAGGAACCTGACTGTTTCAGTGAACTTGGTGGTCTCTACCAGAAAAGTAGTGCTATGAGGAAACCATAAGATGCCATGATCTTACAACGAACAGACCTGGTATAACAAATATTTGTGATGTTTGACTAGATATTTCCTTAGGCCTTGTTTCTTCTGGCACAGCTAGACTTGTCATGCCATGATCTAGAGTGGAATTTGAGGCTTCAGAGCTAAGGAGAAGTAAGAGATTGTGGATCCAACATTTTTGTACCTTCCGTTTCACTTTCCAAGTTTCATTTGAAGGATGTAGGAGGGCTGTGTACCCAGATGTGTGTAACAAAGCCTTCAGCTGCTGTGTTGGAAGTGCTAAATAACTATTTGGTTTGCCCTGGCCAAAGTTCTCTCTCTTTTATTATTTTTTTTAATGCAGTTTTTTTAGGAAGATAATGACTTCAAAGTGCTTGTGTCATGATTTTGTTTTGTTTTGGTTTTGTTTTTTTGTCCTTTGTGTGGGTTTTTTTGTTTTGTTTTGTTTGTTTTGTTGGGTTTTTTTCTGTTTTCCTCTAAAAGACTACTGAGGAGAGCTTAGGAAGCACTGATGTTGAGTATATGTTGAGCTATTTCCACCCCACTCCGTGTAGAATAAGCTGTATAAGGGGACAGAGCCTCAAGTGAACAGTCAGACTTTTGGAGAGTTATTAAGAGTGGTATCAGTGAAAGTGCTCTGTTTTTGTCTTTTGTTACAATACAACTTTTCTAGCTGTGCCTCCCTTGAACTCTGTTAAAACTTGTTGCATATTTTATGCCTGGTGGACCTCTAGAAGGAACACAGCTAATAGATTAGTTTGGAGATACTCAGTGATCTGTTTGGAGGGAGTGCAGTGGGGTGGGAATTTTTTTCTCTTACTTCAGGCTTGAAACAACTGAAGCTGTGAAGCTTGTGTGTAAGACATGAAGCAGCGCTGGGTGACTTAAGATCCTCCTGTTGGATTGAAAAGTGTGTTGAACACTTTTCTAGTATTTATTAAAAAAAAGTATACAGAGTGTGCTGCCATACATCTGTTAAATTGGCAGATATTTAGTAACTTTGTACTGGAAAGGACAGTTACAATCTAGATTGGTTGTCTGTGATCAGAGCCTGGAGAATTGTAGCTGGGACCTTTGCATTGAAGGTATAGGTTTGGTATAGGTATAGGTCATGGCAAACGTGGTCCAGGGTATAACTGTCTTCTGATCATACATTAAAAATCTTGGTAGTTTTATTTATCTGAGATTTCCAAAACAGGCGATGCAATATATTTATTGACATACCTTTTATATCATTGTTTGAATAAGAGGTAGATTGTTAATAAACTACAGCCTTAATTATAAACTTTGACATGCTTTTGAAGGTGACTCACCAAGCCCAGTTATGTGGGAGTCCCAAGGCTTCATTTAGAGCCAACTGCTGAATTGGTGGATTATGCTGTTTTTTGGAGGGGCATTCATGTAAGTAGAGAATAACAAGCCTGACTCGTGCCTGAAGTACAGCTGAAGAGAGTACAAGGCCAGGATTAGCTTGTGCTGTTTGTGAGCCTTGCCTGTTTTGCTAGTTCTCTCTCCTGTCTAACTTCCCCTCCTTCTGTGTGGGACAGAAGGGAGCCTGGTGGACCTCTCTGCTTTGGTGCCTGCAGGCATGATGAGGGCTCAACACATAGTGTGGGGAATTCATAATGAAATGGCTCCTTGTTTTGGGGAGACTTCTTGATAGACTGCTTTTTCTCCTAAACCATGTTTAGACAGCCCTGTTTTTGAGCTTTAATAGCTGGAAGGGTTGTAGACCATCAGGAATTTGTCATTCAGATTTACACTGAATTTGAAAAATAGATTAGAGAAAAAGAAGTAAAACTGAGCTGAGACCAAAACATTCTTGCAAAAGGCCCAAGGAGCAGCAGCTTGGGGAGACCTTCCAGTGGGACACAAGTGTTTGCTCTGGGGTTAGACCTCTGGGCTTTGCAGCACCTGCCACTAGCTGCTGTGCTGCCACTTGAGCTCACACCACTCAGCCTTGTGACACCCTTCCTTCAGTAGCCTGGCTTCCTAATTGATATTGGCTCCTCTGGGATATTCACCATTTCTGTGCTGGATTCCTGTGGTTTCCAAAGAATTCAGGTGTTTGCTTTGAGCCAAGGAATTCACATTAGCTCACAGGCTGTGCTTAGGCCAGAGCTGGCTGAGCCAGCTGCAGCAGCCCCATCCCTCTTGCA